TCTTGTAGATTTTCATCATTCTTTCAGGTTGTCACACTAGTGAGATAATACAACGTTTGCACATGTTTATCTGATTTATTTCACTTACCAATATAGTCTCTAGCTGCATCCATTTATCTACAAAATCTCAAATTTATCTGGTTTTGTAGCTGAGTAATACTCAATTGCATAAAAATGGCGAATCTTTTTTACCTATTCTTCAGTTGATGGGCATTCGGGTTGTTTCCTAGATTTAGCTATGACAAATTGTGCTGCGATAAACATGGGTGCACATACAGCACTGTGGTATGATAATTTCCATGAGCTTTTGTCTATTTCCCAGAAGGGGAATAGCTGGATTGAATGGGGTCTCCAATTCTAGCTTTTTGAGAATGCGCCATACTAATTTCTGTAGCGGTTGTACCAGACTGCGCTCCCATCAGCAGTGAAGGGTTCTTTTTCCCCCACAACCTCTCCAGCATTTGTTATTGGTTGTCTTGTCGATAGTAGTCATTCTTTCTGACATAAGATGGTATCTCAGTGTTGTTTCAATTTTCATCTCTCCAATGACCAATGATGTTGAACATTTTTCATATATTTATCCACCATTTGCTTCTCTTAGTTTTATGAATAATCTCCAAAAGAGTTCTTCAGTGGTTGTAGTCCCTTACATTCCCACCAACAATGTAGAAGGATTTCTTTTTCTGTGCTATTTCACCAGCACTTATTATTGTTTTTTTCTTGCCATTAGAAAATATTTCAGGAGGAAGATAAAATCTCAGTGCTATTTTAGTTTTCATTTCTCTAATAGTGAGACATGCTACAGTTTTCCACATGTTGGCTATTTATGCTTCTCAGAAATATCTCATAATTTTAGCTACCAATGTATTGATTGATTCCTTTATTTGGGGGCTTGTCTAGTTTTGTACTTCTTCATATATTCTAAATAGTAGTCATGTATCCAAGATATAGCTGGAAAAAATTACTCTATTCTGTAGTTGGTCTTTTCACTCTGTTAGTTATTTTCTTTGCTATTCAGAGGCTTTAAAATTATAATCCCTTTTGTTGATTCTTGATGCTATTTCTTGTGCAATTTTTATTATGTCTGGAAATTTCTTACCTGGACCAATGTTTTCAAGAGTTTTGTCTATTTTATCATCCAGGAAATTAAGTATTTTCATTTTAACACTTGCATCTTTAATTTACTTTAATTTAGTGCCAGAGGAGAGATAAGGACCATGTATGTAGCCAGTTTTCACAGGACCATTTGTTAAAGTGGCTCTCTTTCCTATAGCATGTTTTTAGCTCTTTTGCTACAGATGAGATGCCTACATGGGTCTGGTGAGGTTTCTGCATCTTCTATTCTATTCCATTGATCCACACGTCTGTTTTTGTCCTAAAACCATCTTGTTTTTACCAATATAGCTTTAAAGTATGTGATACCTGTTTTACTCTTTTTGCCCAGGATTGATTTTGCTCTTCTGAGTTCACTTCTGGCTCTATATTGTATTGATTGTTTGCACTACTGACATTTTGATTGGGATAGATATGATTTTTGAAAATATTGATTCAGCATATCCAAGAAGAGGCTATATTCTATATTCTTCTCTTTTTCTTGATCTTTTTATTTGTTTATTTGTGTATTTGGTACAGGATCTTCCTATACATCTTAGACTCAGTGATCTTTCTCAGCCTCCCCAGCACTGGAATTACAGGCATATGCTAGCATGCCAGGACTATGGAGCCAGCACAGCATGCAGTACCAGCGATTAAACCCAGTCCTTATGCTTGCCAAGCAGGCTCTTAGACCACTGAGCCATCTCCCCTGACCTATATTCTATTTTCTTATCCCTATTTGTTCTCCTTTTGTCAGAGCACTACAGTTTTCATGACAGAGCTCTTTTACTCCTTTGATTAGGTTACTTCCTAAATATTTTCTATTTCTCACAGCCAATGTGAATCACATTTCCTTACTCATTTTTCTTACTGGCCTCATTATTGTTGTCGAGGGATGTTGCTGAGCTGTGTGTGTTAATTTTGTATCCTTTGCTCTTGAACTTTATTTCCAAGTCTGCAGTGGAAGTTTTCACCTTATGTGTAAAAGATGTTGCCTTCTATGTGAAAGATCATGTCATCTAAAAGTAAGTATAGTTTGGTTTCTTCTTTTCTGCACATATCCTTGTGCATCTTTCCCTTGCCTGATCACTCTGGTTAAATTTTGAGTACTACATTGAATAGGAGTAGTGACAGTGTTTACCCTTTAATTGTTCCTGGTTTTGGAGGAAAATGTTTCAGTCTTTCCTCCATTTAATATGACGTTGCTATGTTCATCATGAATAACTTTTATCAGATTTGAATAATACAACAACAGGCAATAAAATGGAAGCAGTAATAAAAACAAATCTACTAATAAAGAAAAGCCCAAGCGGTGGTGTATTCACCACTGTAACATAGAAAGATGTTACAAAGATCTTCAGCGAAGATGTAACATCAATACTCTTTACATGCAATAAAATTGGAAGAGAAAGAATTCTTCAGACTCATTGGTGGAAAATAACATTACCTTTAGTCCAAAAGTAGATAATGAATGAACTTAAAATGGAAATTTCAGGACCATTGCTTTAATGAACATAGGAACAAACTCCTACGGACCTGGAGATAAGGTCCATTTCTACCTATTTCCTTTTCCTGTGATGTTTGCTCATGTGATTTTTGTCTTTCTTTCTGATTATGTGATATATTGCATTTCTGGATTTGTGTTGATTGTACTATCATTAAATCCTTAAAGTAAATCTTGCTTCGTCATGATGTATGATCTTTTTGATGATTTGTTGCATTCTGAATGTTAGTATCCTGTTGAGAAATTTGTATCTATGTTCATTAAAGCAATGGTCCTGAAGTTTCCATTTTCAGTTCATTCATTACCTAGTTTTGGACTAAAGGTAATGTTATTTCCCACAAATGAGTTTGAAGAATTCCTTCCCTTTGAAGAATTCCTTCTCTTCTACTGTTATTAGATGTAAAGAGTATTGATGTTGCATCTTTTCTGAAGGTCTTTCTAGGTTACAGTGGTGAATACACTGCCTCTTGGGCTTCTTTGTTAGTAGATTTGTTTTTATTACTGCTTTAATTTTATTGTCTGCTGTTATATTATTCAAAAATTTTGCATCTTTGTTTCTGTAATTCACAGGTGTTTGGAAATCTATCCATTTGTTCAGGATTCTCCAATTTATTAAGGTGTAAGTTATAAAGTAGTTATTAACAAACTTTGGGATTTGATTTCTATCTATTACAATTTTTGTGTTCTTATTTTCTGATTACAGATATTGATCTTTCTTTTCTTCTTTTTATATATTTGTCTAAGCTCATTTATCCATTTGAAGATTAAACTTTTCATTAATACTCTGAAATTCTACGAATCTCATTTTATTAATTTCTACTCTGATCTATATAATTTTTGCCTTACTAACTGGATTTGGATTGTTCTTGTTTCTCTGCTACATTGAAGTATACTATTAAGCTATTTATTTGACTCATTCTGTTTCTATGATGTGGATAGTCACATCTACACACACCCCTCTTGGCACTGCCTTCACTGTGTCTTACATGTTACGCTATGTTGTACTGGCATTATTGTTTAATTCTAGAGATTAATTTCTTCATTGATTTTTTTTCTATGGCTCATTGATTATTCAAGAGGGCAGTGGTTAATTTCTATGTTTTGGCATAATGTCTGTGTTTTCCTTTGCTACTAATTTCTAATTTTGTTACATTATGATCTGATGGTATGCATGGAATACTTTCAACTTTTCATATGCTTTTAAACATGCTTTATGGGATAGAGTGTAATCAAGAAGAAAGTTCTGTAAACATCTGAAAAAATGTATATTTTATTGCTTGTGGGAAGAACATCGTATGTTTACCTACTGAGACCATTTCTTCAAAAGTATGGCTCAATGCAGGCATTTCTTTGTTTCTAATTCTATTCGCAATTTTTGTATATTGAACTTTCCAATATAATTGTGTTGATGTTTTTCTGATTTGTTAAGCACAGTAATGTTTGTTTTACGCAGCTAGATGCACCAGTATTTGGTGCATACATGTTTATATTTGTTATTTTTTCCTGTTAAGTTGTTCCTTTCACCCAGGAACATAGTAACTTTATTTTCTTCTCATCAGTTTTGGGCTGAAGTGTCTTTTTCTGAAAATAGGGTAGTTATTATTGCTTGCTTTCAAGTTCTTATTGCATGAAATATTGTTTTCCATCCTTTGATTTTTAATCTGTGTGTGTCTTTTTTGATTAAATGTATTTCTTGTTACAGCACTGTTGGTTTTTGTTTTTGTTTGTTTGTTTGTTCATTCGTGTTTTTTTTTTCATCACATGTGCCAATCTGTGTCTTGATTGGAAAGTCAGATTATCCATAATAAGAGTTGTTACTGAAGCATAGTGGTTAACTTTTGTCATTACACTATTTTTCCATTGCTAATACATTTCCCCCTTCTTCTGTTTAATTACTCACCCTGACTGGTGTATTCATTTTATAAGACTTTTTGACATTCTTGGTTTCATGTCTCTCTAGAATATTTATGAGAATTTTTGTAATGCTGACTTTGTGATCATAAATTTCTTCAGGTGCTCAATGTCATGGAAAGTCTTTATTTCCTCCACTAATTATTAAAGGTAATTTTATTGAAGATGGTAGCCTAGATTGCAATTTGTTTCTTTTGGCCTTGAAACATTTCACTCAAAGTTTTCCTAGCTTTTTAAGTTTTGTTTAAAAATCTGCTGCAATCTGAATTGGTTTACATTTATGTCATTTTATTGCTTTTCTCTATACCTCTTAAGAGTCTAGTGAACATCAGGAATTAAAATTGTGATATATGATGAAGAATTTTTTCTGACAATGGCTATCTGAGATTCTATATGCCTTGTTTACCTGAAAGCTAATTTTTCCCACTCACAGAAAGTCTTCTGCTATTTTTGTAAATAGGATTTATATGCTATTCATGCTGTCTTGTAATTGTCACTAATTGTAATTAATCCTAGGTTAAATTTCTTTGCATCACATAGCAACTGTTGGATCCATTTTAGTATCTTTTGTTGTTGTGAGGGTTTCTCTCAACATATTGTCACCTGTGTCAACCCTGGCTTTAGTTCTGAAACTGTCCTTACGTTGGCCACCTGTGCTGCCCATACTTTAAAAAAATGTTTTCAGTCCTTGGGTTTCTGTTTGGTACTTTGGCATGGATTCTAATTCTTTGCTAAACTTGTCATTTTTTTTTTATGTATTTAGTTCAGGGTCTCACTACACAGATCAAGTCAGTGATCTCATGTTTTCAGTTTCTCAAGCACTGGGGTTACAGGTGCACACCACCACACCAATCCTAATTGCCATCTTGGCGTACCTTCGAGGCAGGACCAGCTCATCATACCCGGGATTGAGCTCTAGTCCCTGTGCCTGCCTAAGCAGGTGCTTTAGACTACTGAACTATTTGGCCGGCCCTTGTCATTTTTATTTTATATTATTTTATTTAGTTCAGCTAGCTTTTTATTTGAATCATTTTTAAGCTCAGTGATCATTTTACTTTTTATTTTATATTTAATTTAACATTTTTTAGCTCTTCAGCACCTTATGAACCTGTTTTTAGTTTCTTTTTTTAAAATCACTTCATATAATTCAACCACTTGTTTTTTTATATATATTATTCCCCATCAGAGTCCCATGGGACACCCTTGGGTAAAATGAAATTTTCAAGGCATTTTTGTTGTCTCATTTACTCATGTTTCTATTGT